ATTCACGTGTACTTATTCGAATGCTTTTTCGAAATAGAAATTTTTCAATGGATTTTTCATAATAAAATCGGCTTATGTCAACAAATCAACGCTCTAAATCTTCACAAATACAAGAAGAGCAAGCAATTGCAGTGGGGAAAATTCTATCTCTCTGTCGGAGAATGAAAAACTATTTCTCGACTGTTCATTGATTCAGCAATTTTTTTTATTCATTTGATTATCTATGCAGAAAACCAAACAAACAGCGTCATTTATTTGGATTGCATTCGTAAAATTTAATCAACTGTGCAAATTCAACTCGCCGGAAGATGATAAACTTACCCATTCGCATTTTTCTAGCTTTCTATACAGTATTCATAATTTCCATCTTCAGCCATTTCTCGTTGTTCGTTCTCGATTTCTCTCTCTCTCTCTTTTTTCATTTCTAATCAAATGAAACCATTTCGAGTTTGGTTCAAATGATTAAATAACGCTGGCTGTGTGTAAAGGTGTGTTTTGCTGCTACATGCAGATATTCGAGAGCGGAAAATTGCGAAAAATTGAAATAAAACTAGTGTCTGTGTTGAGCATTCTAATGTTGATAAATGTGTTGCATTTTTTCGATATTTTACATATGTGGGTGATGTATTACAAGTCCATCTGCTTGTTTTTGCTGGAATTGTTGTTTTTTCGCGTTGTGAAAATATCGTATCGAATGTTTCGATAGATGAATAGCTGGGTGAACGATATACCTTGTTTAACAAATCTCTGAAACCAGAGATCTGTGACTTTTTTCGACTGGATGATGACATAGAAAAGGAAGCGAAAAAAAAACTATCAAGCAAAATGGCTTAAAGTTTTTTTCGTTACTTACATTCACTTTTCAACCGCAAACCATATTAAACAGCTGGCAAAATTGCAGTTCATGTAACTGAAGCATAAAATATCATCTATCATGAAGCTAACCCGAGAATTTCTACAGATTCATTCGAAATACAGATGTGCATTATACGGACATTCTCTCATATTCTCCGTATTCAAATACAGCAAAGGTTATAATCGGATTTCAAGCTCACATTCACACTTTGATTTGTTCACAAATTGTTTGTCAGAAGACAGTTTTCAATTTCAAATTAAAAACAATGAAGATAATTACAGTTTCGATTGCACACGAAGTGATACATTGTTTTCAATATGAATCAGTAAGCAAGTGAAAAATTGAATCGCATTCATCAGTGATTTCCTTTCGAGTTATTGTGAAGAAAAAAACTTCAATTTGATTTATATGGAAAGCTTACTCAGAAAAAAAACTTTTATTAAAGTGGGTTTATTTCAGACATTATCAAAACTTTCACTAGAAATTGAAGAAATCCGCACATCAATCAGGTAGAGAGAAGAGAGCCCACTGAAAACACACCAAACGATACACTTATACGACTTTTTCAACTGAGGATTTGTGATTACGATTTTTTTTGGTGAATTTATTGCACCTCTTGAATCATTCACACAAGTGTAGTGTTCGCTCACTATTCAAGGGGAAAAGTCAATGAAAGTAAAACTTTTGCCAATCGATCTCGTGCCCATTGAACATAAAAAACTCGAATCGGTTTTGGTACTAGGGAGAAATTTATACAAACGAAAAAGTCAAAGATTTTCTCGTCGAGATTTTCGCACCTGAAGTTTGATCTACAGTGGAAGTTAATCCTTATTCTACGCGTTCAATCCAACATTCAATTTGTGAACAAAAACAATACCACGCACACATTCAACATGTCTATTTAAACTTGGAGTTCACAAATGTGAAAATGATTTATGCAAATATATTCAACTGGTGGCATCTGCTTCCGAAATGTGCGCTTGACGAAAACAATATGCCATGATTCGAATTCCCCCAGCGATTGTATCACGGTAACGTTTACAACAATTCGCTGGAAAAGTGGGAAAATTCATTGAAATGGAATGGGAAGATGAAAATTCGAAGGAATTGCCGATGAGTCGATTTTTCAACATCAAGTTAATGCGGTTTAAAATAACCGGTTACAATGAAATAAACCGAGATAATTCTACTCTTTTAATAGAAGTGTTTCAATAAAGCTCAAACATATGAACACAGTCAAAAATAAACTGAAAAAATGAAATAAACTACAAAGATAAGTATACGAAAAATTATAGCGAAAAAATATTTCATTGAAAAATGTGACCACTACACTGAGTTATCAAAGACAATGAAATTTCATGAACAAAAAATAAGTGTATTCGTATGAATCATGTGATATTAGTGAAGTCGTCAATTCTTATCAAATACTTCAAAATTAATGTAATTTCATCACATTTTGTAAATTTGTCATATTTAGTGTCATGTAGTCAGTATAATTTATCAAAATACCTTATCAAATAACATATTCATCGTCCATCAAACGGTACACTATCTGCTTTGAAATGCTTTACAGACAGTTCTTGTTACTACGTGAATACCTTTTTTTAATGATATAACTGAACTCGCCCAAATACACTAAATATAATCAATTCTATTCACAGTACAGCACAGTAGCTGTATATTGAAATTTAATTAAACCAATTTTATAGATTATTTATTCTGAATTTAATGAAATGACATCGACTCAATTAAATATTATTTTGTTGATTTTTTTTTATTCTTATTTAAATACATATACGCAATTTAAATAAATAAAATTGCGCAAACAAAAAGTAATACAGGACTCATATGAATTAGAACAGCTGAGTTTGTACTTGTACTTGGACTTGGAGAATGTGTACTTGTTTCTGTATTTCCATCTGGACATGCAACTATAATTTTGGATTCGGCTTTCGATTCACCCAATTCATTTCCGGCTACAATTTTGATTTCATATTTAACCGGTGTTAAAAATTTGATAACCTCTTTGTCTTGCTTCCAATCAGTAATCTTTTTGTTATACCAATAGTCACTTCCTTCTGTTCTTCGGTATATGCGATAAAAAAATCCACGTCCATTATGCTCTTTTCGTGGCATTGGTGTCCACGAAATGACTAAAGTGCCTTTGGCTGCACCCGTCACACTGAAATTTGTTGGATTTGTGTATGGAACATCTGGTTGAGATGAACACATTTTGGTTGGTTCACTTGGCTTACTTGATACATCATCTTTATCAACTGCAATCACACGGAACGTGAATGAGGCACCTGCTAGTGGCAAAGGAATCTCATAGTAAGTTTTGGCAATATTATCAGCAGCCACAGTCCAAACATTTTCTTCGACTAAGGCATGCACTTCAACGGTATAATGTTTAATATTTTCAATAGGTTCCCATAGAATAACTGCTGAATTTTTTAAACAATGGGTAGCGAATACTACCGGGGCGGGTGGTATTGGCACTACTGTTGTTGGTGTTCCAGTTGGCGGTTTTGTCGGCCTTGGCACTTTTTCTACTATTTCACTTTCTTCGTTGACATTTTCACCACCAAGTATTAGAGTTGCAGAATTAATTTCTTCAACTTTAATGTCGGCCACAACACACAAAGCACAAAGTGCCAAACTGACTATGCTTATCGCTTTCATTTTGCTGCTGAACTGAAGATCGCAGCGACGGTGTAACACCATTTATTTGGTTGTTTTCTACATTTAATCAATACGAATCTTATCGTAAGCACAATCCAAAATCATATCAACAACCTATCAGAATTCTATCATCAATCATTTTGAACTTATGACTATATTCCTAAAAATGTACATTCAACATGATTTATTTGTGTAAAATTTTATCATCCTGTATTTATCTCTATGACGAAGGAATGTCATATCATTTCCTTAAAAAAATGCAAAAGAATTTCCGTAAAACAAAAAAAAACTTATTATCTTAAATGTTTGATGGTTTTTACAATAGTACTTTCTATGTACTTAGGGCACGATCATTCGATTTAGCAATGGGTTTACTATGCTGTTAGCTATAGATCTAACCGAAATCCAAAAACGTATTCTTTTTGAATTCTGTACACTTTTCTTTATATCTCTAATCACTGTCAACCATATTAGAAATGATCATTCATCGAGGAAATGAAAAAATGACGCATATGAGTGATTCATTTTTTAAAAATACTTATAAAAGTTTTCCAAGGCCAACATTAAGGTTTTTTAATGGCCAGAAAACATAAAAATATCGATACAAATATTTCTTATTTGTATGGAATGTCAAATATACCTTATCATTTTTGTGATTGATAGTGTGTATATATGACACTAGGGGGGAGACACCAAGAATAAATTCCGAATCCACTATATAAATTACTAATCCAGCTATTCCACTAATCCAAAAACACAAATGTGAAATCGAAACTATTTTTCCTATTCCATGCAATGTTTACGTCAAAAATGTTAATTCATCTATTCCGCACTATTCCACTAATCCATCAATAAACGTCAAAAGAAATGTCAAATGGATTTGAAGTGAAACAATTTTTGCTATTCCATGCACTGTTTCGCTATTCCATCCACATGAGTTGCTGTTTCATTGCAATTTCTCGAATCTTTACACTAAAAGTCTAATCCTATTCCACGTGTCTGCCCCCTAGATATGACACTGTATAATAAATTAATCACGATCTTGATAGGGAATTCTTGCTACTACTTGCCAAAAGTGGTTCTTTCTCCTTCACTCGAACGAAAATTAGCCACTATCAGAGTTACTATGGTACCGATTTATATAACGTTTTTACAAGTATTTCGATTTCCTTATGACGTCAAAATTCATGATCTTTGTCGCTCTAATTTTTTTTGAGACATATTACACTAGAAAAAATGCTTTTTCATCCATTTAAATTTTTCACAAGTTCCGAATGAATTTATGATTTGCATATCAGCCATCCTGTGAATTTCGATTATAGAAGATTCAGTTCTACATACTTATAACTCTTCAAAAAAAAATCAAGATTGAATTTTATCATAACAAATAGGACCAATACTTTACGCTAAATTATAAAACAAACCTCAGCTCACAATTTCAATCAATAATTAGACAGAAAAATAAATCATAGATATAGATTTGTCCACTACATTTATTAAATATTCGTTTTTTGTCAATTTTTCTTTTTTTTCACTCGATCAAAATGACGGTAAAATATGACAATATGCGAGATTTAATACTTCGATTGATTAAAAAAATCTAATTTTGAATTGAGTTGAGGACCCTGTTGTTTTACAATATGGTATTCAACACTTCAGTTGTAGATTTCGATATTTTCAATATATACAAATACAGGACCTATATGAATGGCAGGTTTGTCCGTTTGTGGTTTTTCTGTACTCATTTCTGGCTTATGTATTTTCATTTGTGTTTCAATCCAATCAATAAATGAATAAACACGCGTAAAAATGTCCGGATTTTTTGTACCACACTATAAATTAAAATTACATTTTATTAATATTTGTCTTCCAATCGAGTTTCATTTTATTTTGAAAACTCACAGATATTTCTGACGAAACTATTCCAACCAATGATTGTCCATTTGGACTATTTTTATCATTTTCATCGACTAACGGTCCACCTTTTATGTGAAGTTTTATTTGAATAAGATTTATCTTGTTGGTAATTCGATTAACTAAAAACTAATTACCTTTATCTCCAGTGCAAACGCCCGTTTCAACTGACCTTGAGGTACAAATATTTGACTCGATTAGCTGGCTAGATGGGACGTTTTTAGCACACATTTTAAGATCCAAAACCTCAACATCAATATATTGCAATAATTCAGCGAATTCTAGTTGGTTACTTTCAGTAAGAGGTTTCTAAATGTTGTGTGTGTATAATTGTATATTTTAATGTGTTTGAAAAAGAAGTCGCCCCTGTAAAAGTTACTCACTTTTGTACCCCACCCACTAACTACTAGGACCCTCTCATGTATCACTCTATCAACAGCGGGCAGTGCAATTGATTGAATTGAACTTGTAAAAGAGATTTCTTTCGCAGTAAGCAATAACGAGATGTCATTATGTATCTTTTTTTTATCGTATTCGGGATGGTTAATGATTTTTTCCAAACTGAACGGGACTCCATCCATATACAGTTTTACAGCGCCAACTACAACTTCTATATCATTTGGATTTGAGTCATGGGTACAGCTTGCGGCTGTCACAATAAACCTGGTGGAATGAAATGTCCGTAAATTAGGTTGCATATAAGTATCGAATGTTGAATGACAAATTGACGAATATGACAATGTGTGAGTATTCGTGATGGTATTTTTTTCACATTATTAGTTTCCGGTGCACAAAATTGTTCAATATTTTCTTATGATTTCGCTACACACCAACTGCTGATGATAGAACCACCGCAAAAATGTTTTCCTTCTTTACGAAGTGATGCTTGATACGGAAACTGATATTTTGCAGCCTCTTTACCGCCAAGTATGCGATTTGTGGGATTGATTTTTGGAAATTTAATATCGGCCAGAACACATACAGCACAAAGTGCCAAAATGAATAAGTTTATCGTTTTCATTTTATATATGAACTGAAGGCATAAGCCAAATTGTAATTCTTTTTATTTTGTGGTTTTCTACGTTTAATCAATATAAATCTTATCATTTGGATTAGGTACCAAGACCATATCAATAACTAACAAAACTCCAAACAATTGAATCACACAACCAACATTTCCTTTGATTATTGTTACGTTGATTGATGTTACATAATTTTTTTTATCAAATCAAATTTTGGGACGCGTAAATACATTGACGTCTTAGTCAAGAGCTTTTCAATAAATATCCAAACACAAAAAAAATTGTCATCAAAATGTTAAGACCTTATAAGGTACTATAGCACAAAATGATAAAATTCAATAATCATGAAAAAATATGGAATTATAGCAAATTAATTTATTTCAAATCTGCTACTGCATCTAGGGCACCCTTCATATTCATATTAAAAGAAAAATTAAATTTAATTTACATATTTCGAAATTTGAATTCAATTAAATAACATGTGCTTCAATAGTATGATATTTAAATAAAAAAACAAGTAATTTGCTTCACTAACGTTTCGGCGTACTAGATCCACTTAATTTTCATAAGTACACTACGCTCAAAGAACGACACATTTGGCTACAAAATATTTATACGGTCACATTAACAAAACAAAAATAGCATTGAATACAAACTACTAGAGGTACATTGAGTAAATCAGTTTTTACTTTTTCCACGTCGTTCTTTTAAATGGAGTAGAAAATTCAAAAATTTACTGGAGGTTTTTTGTTTATGGATTTTAAGTTTTTTTATAAAAATATATACAGGACCTATTTGAATGACAGGCTTAAACTGAGGCTTTTCAGTTTGCGTTGGAGGTGCTGTGGTTTGAGGGGTAGGGGTTGTTGTTTGAGAGCTAGGTGTTGTTATTGGAGAGCTAGGTGTTGTTATTTGAGAGGTAGGGGATGTTATTTGAATGCTAGGAGTTGTTGTTTGAGGGGTAGAGGTTGTGGTTTCAATGGTAAGGGTTGTTGTTTGAGGGGTAGATGTTGTTATTTGAGGGGTAGGTGTTGTTGCTTGAGTGGAAGGTTCTGTGGGTTTTTCAGTGGGCATTTCTGTAGGTGCTTCTGTTGGTGGTTGTACAGTTGTCAGCTCCGGTTTTTGTTCCGCCATTTCCTGTTTAATCCATGCAATAAATGCATAGACGCGTGTGAAAATTTCCGGATCTTTTGTACCACACTGTAAAAACATAAAATATGAAGCAATTCTACAAAGCAATTCTACAAAGACGCTTGGTCCGTAGGAAGACTGTTTTTAAATGTTTAAATACTCACCGGTGCACTCGACAAAATTATTCCAACCAATGTCTTGGGATCATTTACATCGACTAACGGACCACCTTATTATAATATGTTTTAAAAATAAATATCAATGCTTTGTAGTTTGTTTAACATCGAAGTGTTTGTAATTTACCTTTATCTCCAGTGCACACACCCTCGTTCATTGAACTTTGTGTGCAAATATGCGAAACTTTAACCTTTCCTTTGAATTTATCGATACATTTATAAATATCTAACACCTTAAGTTTGGTAAATTGCAAAATATTGGATGGTTTGCTTTCCGTATCTAGTATAGTATCAGGCATCTAAATATACAATTTGAATGTTCATTATCATTATATTTGATTTTTGAAAGAGATTTGCTTCTTGGAATAAATTCAAAATAACTAACTAAAAATAAAATACTAGTTTTTAGATAAAAATACTCACTTTAGTGAAACCCCAGCCAGAAACTACAACCGATGCTCCGTCTATCATCAAATTAGAAGTGGGCAGCGCGATTGGTTGAATTAAAACTGTGAAATGAATCTCTTGCGCAGTACGCAATAATGAGATGTCATTCTGAAATATTGTAGGACTGTAATTTGGAAAGTTGGTGATTTTTTCTATGCTGAGCCAGGTCCCACCGCTTTTCAATTCTCTAGCTCCGACCACAACCTTTATATTGTCAGGATATGATTTGTCGCCCTGAGTGCAATGTGCAGCTGTCAAAATAAACCTGTGAAGTAAAAGGTGGAAAAGTATGAATAATGAACGTAATGTACATTGGATTTCATATGAAAATATCACCAGTGAATGAATGTAATGCATTACATATTGGGTGTGCATAATTTCCGCCGTTTTTTTTGTAAAAAAAATAACATTTATTTCAATAATAAAATGAATGTATTCCCCATAATTTCTTGCCATATTTCTGGTAATTTGTTGATTCCTCATCGAAAGAAGTCCTCACCTTTGAAGCAGACCATTTACCGATCCTCTTTCATATTTCTTTAGCATTTCAAAAGCGTGCATCGGCCGGCGCCTACCATCAAAACAAGTGAGAGCAAGGTCTGGAGAGTACTTCGGCTTATCAAGCTGATCTCAACCGATGTCTTCTATCTATTTCTTAAGGATATTTACAATATGTGGCCTTGCATTGTTCTGGTGAAACATAACTTTCTTGAAAATGGAGTCCATTTTCCTAGCTTTTAAATCTTCCCCATTAGATGCTCGGTCGACATTGAATTCTACTGCAAGTTCCTTTTGCGTTTGAGCTGAGTTTTCATCCAATATTGCTTGCAATTTCGCATCTTCCATTCATTTTTTGGCTAACCTGGTCGATCTTTTAAGACAAAAACATTATTTTTGAATCGTTAAATGCATTCTCTGCAGATTTATCCCGATGAAGTTTGTTCGCCATATGTATCACAGAAATGTACTTCAGCGGCAATTTGAAAAAATACCTTATCACGATCCATTTGGAATCGATTAAAAGATAATGTAATTGTATGAAAAATAAATCTTTCTGCTAAGAATTAGGTATACAAATGTTAAATGTTCACATGTCTAGCTTACACACAATTTAAAATGGTGACACCTAAATACCTGAATTTCGACGGCGGAAATTATTCCACACTATAAAGTTTATCTCAATATTAGAAGATTTGTATTATGAATACATCACAACACTTTGCTGTTTTAGAAAAATGAACCAAATGACTGAACTCATGACAAACAAATTCACTGAATTTTAGCATATTTTTATATTTCTTACATACCAATTGTTGATAATTGAACCACCACAATAATGATTATTTTTATAACGAATCGACACTTGATAGGGAAATTGCCCTCTTTTAGCATCTCCACCGCCAAGTATACGAGTTGTAGCATTGAATTTTGAAGCTTTAACAACACACAACGCACAAAGTGCCAAACTGAATAAGTTTATCGCTTTCATTTTAACCGGTGAACTAATGATCGGAACGACACTGTAATACCATTTATTTGGTGATTTTATGTTTTTAATCAATATAAATCTTATCATAAACCTCGGATTATCGGGCAACCGGTATCAACGACCAATCAAATCATAAAATAATTTTTTGAACTTGAAACAATATTAACATTTAATATCAAGTGATTTGGCGTTGATGAAGTAAATATTTTTTCTTGCACACTCTCCCTGGACTTAAAATACATTATGTATTATCAGGGATTGTTCCTCTGAGGAGGAGGAATGGTGAGGAGGAAAATGAGGAGGAGGAGGAGAGCGAGGAGGATCCTCCTCCTCAACTGAGGAGGAAAA